CTATACTGACACCAGGACTTAAGCATTCGATAGTCACATCTTTCTTTATATAATAATGTTTGCGTATTTGCATCTTCTCTGTCAAAGATGCATATGTTTGGATTGTGGTCAGTTTACACATAACTTCCTAAAATTTGTGTTCCATACAACTGAAGAATGTTTGAAAAGCACAATTTCTACATAACAAGTCTTCCTCGTTGTTCCATCTCAGCCCGCAGTCTCTCTCCTCTTCAGGCACTGCTGTCTCCCAGTGCTGGGCACTCCAGTGTGCAGTCTACTGTCCTTTCCCCACAGCATCACAAGAGCCTCATTCTCCCCACTTCCTCCAAACATGGTTTTCCAGACAGAACACACTAAAAGAAAAGGGGCTGCACACAGAGTAAGCAACCACTATTACAGTACACACCTCTTCCAGAGGCTCCTTATATAGGAAGGTCTTTGAGCTCGAATATAAGAAAACGTCTCTAAGCCTAGTTAGATGATGTGGAGCTGACCTTGGACCCATTTCCTTCTGGCACATCTTCCCTTCTCCCAAAAGGACCATAAAAACAAAGCAAAGCAAAAACATACAAAACAAACAACAGCAACAACAAAAGGTATCCTCTGCTCTTACTACGGAGGTTAAGAGGTGTAACTTTTTTTTTTTTGGTCTTTTTGAGACAGGGTCTCCCCATAGCCCCAGCTGTCCTGAATTCACTATGGAGACCAGGCTGGCCTCTAACTCACAGAGATCTGCCCTCCAAGAACTGCAGCTTACAGGACACGCAGCTCTTTCAGACTCGCTAGTAAACTATTGCCTGAAGATAGTTCATGTCCTACTCTCTCTTGCAGGTTATTGTTCTAGAATATTCTCTAGAATATGGAAGCTGATCGCAATAAGTTTTAGGGACCAGACAGTACAACATCTTTGAACCTCAACCTCAGCCACCTTAGCAGAGAAAGGAAAGTCTGTCTCAACTTACTGTTTCCCAGAATCAAGATATACCAGTGCCCTGAAGGAAAAGCAATTCCCATAACCCGCAGAAAAATATTCAGATTTTTGTGCTGAAAGTCAGCATTGCAACCTAGTGAAACAAGTGACATAAAGAAAATAGTATAGAGTAATAAGAATGCAATCACATTCTGCAGGACCTTTATGTGGGCCATGGTGCTGACATCTCTGGGTCCTTGGGCGTTATGTTGCATGGTCTTCAGATATTTCCAGAGGGAGAAGATGAGCAAGAGAAAAGTTGTCAGAGACACAATGAAAGGTATGAATATGAACATAAAGATTGGTTAATGAAAATCACTCAGAAAATTGTAAATAATTATTTGAGCTAGAAATGTATGTCAAATTTGCTTTACATTGATCAATCCAGACACCAATCTGTGAGTTTATGATGATGATGTTGATAAACAAGATGAGCAGAGATGCAAGAAATGTAGGGGAAACCACTTTGTTAATGCTCCACTTCAGGTGAGGAAAGAGAGAGCTTGAAAAGTTGGCTATCTTGAGGAAATAAAAGATGCTAAGGCAGGTAGCAAGCCAGATGCTGAAGTAGTTGGTCACTGTGAAAGAAATATTGGTTATTCTTACTATTTTTCCAGTTTTCATTAACTTTGGGTGTTGCACGTATACCAATACATTTGTGATTATTGACCACAGAAAAATAATTCTGGAGATGGCCAGAGCAGTGAGGAGTATATCAACTGAAGAGATTTTTCTTCTCTTGATCCAATCCAGGATGTTCTCCGGTGCCATGAATGCATTTCCAAAATTTCTTATGACAAATTCTATGCTTAAAATGATTACAAATGCGAGGTGTAGTATATCACTCATTGTAAACACGAGGATGCTCTAATTCCTTTTCTTTTGAAGAGAATTTCTTGATGCAAACTTCTAAGATACCATGTATGTCTCATTTTCTTTTATAAATTCCCATACACAATATCAAGTGAACTATAAACCTATTACCAACTTAGTTTTCTCCACAAACCATTCTTGTACAGTATTAGATGAGCTTTATCCAGATTCTGTGTGCTTTGCATATGGCAGTCTGAAATCCTCAAAGTTGATAATGAAGGAAACACTGAATTCTCCTGTGCTGTCATCAAAATAAAGATAATTTATTTGCATTAATTTGCTTGCTTGGCCTTATCTACATATGTAATCTGGCTATTACTTTTCTGGTCCAGAATTCCAAGTCAAATAACAGACAAGAAAAGTCTAAACTGACATGTAGAGTAAGAACTTCATCAAATGCATCAAAATAGGGTCTGGAGACATGGCTCAGCAGTTAAAGAGTACTGACTGCTCTTGCAGAGGACCCAGGTTTAATTCACAGCACCCACAAGGTAGCTAACAACCATGTGTAACTCCAGTTCCAGGAGAACATGACGCCTTCTTCTGACCTCCATGGGCATTGCATGGCTGAGGTGCACTTACATATATGCAGGCAATATACTCATACACATAAAATAAAAATAATTAAAAAGTATTAAAAATACATCAAAATAGTGTCTGTAAAGGGACCTATGCTTGTTTTCCAAAGTTATTGATTACAAGGTATCTTAGTTACTTAATAATATCATAGATCATTATTCTTCAAATATTTAATAAAAGGCTACTAATTAGTTTTTCAAGGTCATGTAAACATATTCGGGTTTATCATTACACACCATTTATGATACATTTAATTCATGCTTAGTAGTGCTGTAGTTGTTAAGACATTGTATGAACCTGCTTTCACATATAACTGATTCAATTGAAATATAAACATTCTATAAGCTTGTGATTCATTTATCTCTGTGTGTGAACAAATTGGAAGATCCTACTGTGCTAATAAAGAGCTTAAATGAATTAATCTTCACAGCAATAATCCTCTTCATCCCATGTTTCCCTTGTCAGTACAACTGATTCCCCCATCAGTGCCAATGAGTTCTAGATAGTATCCACTTCCCTCCTCTTTGCACCAACATCTGCTCCATTATTATCATTATAGGCATCAAGTCATGTGAGGGATGATACACTGCCCAGGCAAGCTGGAAAAGAAACATGACATAATAACTTTCTTCAGGGGCTAATGAATAGTCAGCCAAAAGATCAAGGACATAAATACAACAGAAGTAACAAAGATGACAGAAGAACATGTATCAAAACTTCAGTAAACTTGGTGGGATGATATATCCTGGTAAACACAAACCAGAAGCAGAGGCTGACACAGAAGACAAGCATTTCAAAGCCAGCCTGGGCTCCATGATGACAAACTGACTAAAGAAAATATCAAGAAGGGATTGGAGAGATGGCTCAGCGGATAACAGTACTTGCTGCTCTTGCAGAGGACCTGGGTTCAATTCCCAGCACCCACATTGTAGCTAACAACCCACCGTTCATAACTCCAGCTCTAGGAGGTCAGCCCTCTTCTGACTTGCATGGACATTGCACAACACAGGTGCACTTACACACGTGCAGGCAATATACTCATACCCATAAAATAAAAATGATAATTTTTTAAATAGAAAATAACAAGAACCTTGAGAAATGGCAGAGAAAGGCATGGAGTTTCACAGTGTGAAGAACGGACCACAGTCTCATTTGCCCAAATCAAAGATTTAGGGAACCCCCTGAGTAAGAAGGAAAACTAAGCTATTGAAAAGTCTTAAGGGAAATCTCTAGGGATAGAAGCATGAGCACACCATCACCGTAGAGCCCAGAGAGCCTCCTGGAGTGACTCTTTCCATATAGTAAAAACAAAGAGGAAGAAGACAGAGAAATGAAAAAACACTGCAGGGGTGGGGCTGTGTGCAGTGGGCACTTCTCCTGAGTTCTCAATTCTTTTAGAAAAGTGACCGAAATTGTATCCCCTGGGAGAATGAAGCACTCACTGCACGGACATTCATTGCAAAGTTTCCCGAGTCCTTCTGCTGCACCTTCCACTCGAGAGGAAACACTTCAGGCTCCACCTGACCAGCATTCCTGGGAAAGACAGTCTTTTCCACACAACATGAGAGTAGCTGCAAGAATGGTTCCCACATCTTTCATCTATAGAACAAATGAGCAAACCATTTCTTCAGAAAGAGCCTGGTATCTTTATGAATTTCCTTGTAAATTTTGTATGTGCATGTGCTTATAAATTTGTACATTTTATGTTGATTTTTCACTACTGGAAACTTTTGCATACTGTCTGTACCAAATACAGCTAATTATAAGGATTTAGCAAACCATGTATCTATGCATCTCCATATTAAGATAATTGTGCTTATAATAATTATCTTCTACATTTTTCTTTTAAAAATTTATTTTTTATTTTTAATTATGTGTATTTGTGTTGGCATGAGCACATGAGTGCAGGTGTTCCTGGAGGCCAGAAAAATTGAAATACCCCTGGAGCTAAATATACAGGCATTAAGGGGCCACCCAGTTTGGGTGCTGAAAACTAACACTGCTCCTTTGCAAGAGTACAAATGCTCTTAATCACAGAGCCATCTCTGCAGCACCCTACATTTTCTCTTTGATGAAAACTAGATTAAATTCTGGGTAAACATCGCTATCTTTACCAGAAATTCAAGAAAACATTATTAAAACTCCCTTTTTTAAAAAATAATATTGTCTTTTAATTTAAAAACTTCACAGTTTGAGGAAGACAACTGTGTTTTTCAATGTAGTAGAGATAGATAAGTAGATTGGTAGATGGTGATGATATATGAGATAGATAAATTGACAGATAGATGATGATAGCTAGAGCTACATGATAGAGGAATAGGTTATAGATAGATAGATGATGATAGATAGATAGATATGATAGATAGATGATAATAGAAGATGATAGATAGATGATAGATAGATAGATAGATAGATAGATAGATAGATAGATAGATAGATTAGATAGATGATGGATGGATGGATGGATAGAGATAGAGATAGATAGAAGATAGAGGATAGATTGATAAATGATAGGTGATTGATAGAAGATAGATAGAATATAGATAGATGATTGATAGATAGATAGATAGATTGATTGAT